CCCTTTCGTCGTCTATTGATGAACTAGCGCACCAATTTTCGACCTCAGTCTTGACTGTGGTGACTCATTCTATCCCCCAAACCTCAGGTAGGCATTCTCAGATATACGTACCTTGGTGGTTTCCTACGTGCACCTGTGCAGTGCATTTAAAACGTGCTGCATGGGGCTGTTATCGATATAACCGTACCACGGAGCATCTGTTGGATTTTAAGCAGGCAAGGGCAGCTGCTCGCTGCATCATACGCGACGCTAAACGTGCTTATTGGCAAAACTACGTGTCTTCCATTACCTTGTCTTCCCCTATGTGCGCGATTTGGAAAAAGGTGCAGAAATTATGTGGTAAGTATGCTCCTGACCTGGCTCCCGTTTTGCAGGTAGCTGGAGTTGATGTCACAGGACCTTTAGAAGTTGCCACAGAAACTGGGAACTATCTTGTCTGTATCTCCTGAGGGCTTCACCTCTGTCCTTCATTTCTTGCGTCTGAACCTACCATAGAGCAATTGCCCTTAGATTTCTCCTCCAATGGATTGGCTCCGTATAACATACCTTTTACTCTTCCAGAGTTGGAGTCCATGCTTTCTATGTGCTGGCCATCAGCACCAGGACCTGACAGTATCCACATCAGTATGCTACACCATCTCTATTCTATGGCCTTTCCTGTTCTTTTACGTCTTTTCAGTCTAATTTGGGAGCGAGGGGTTCTCCCACAACACTGGAAATCAGTTATTGTACTACCGTTTCACAAACCTGGCACCTCAGGACTTGGCACCTCTCACTATCGTCCCATTGCCCTGACCAGTGTGGTCTGTAAGGTGATGGAACGATTGGTGAGTAGATGTCTGATGTGGCTCTTAGAGACACACAATAGCCTTTCCTCTTGCCAATATGGCTTTCACAAAGGCTGCTCTACTTTAGACCCCCTGCTCCACTTCGATACATATATTTGAAATTCCTTTGTTAACAACCACTCTGTCCTAGCGGTCTTTTTCGATCTGGAGAAGGCATATGGCACCACTTGGAGTGATAACATTCTTGCCCAAGCCCACTCCTTAGGCCTCCGTGGTAATCTGCCAAACTTCATTGCTGCTTTCTTGTCCGATAGACATTTTCGGGTCCGTATTGGTGCCTCGCTTTCCTCAGACTTTGTACAAGCCAAAGGAGTCCCACAAGGTTGTTTCCTCAGTACTACTCTTTTTCTCTTAGCTATAAATGACCTACCTTCCATTCTTCCTTCGCATATTTGGTCATCACTTTATGTTGATGACTTCGCTGTAGCTTACTCAGGCGCTGATTGTCGACTGGTAGCAGCCTCCCTTCAGGTAGTGATAGACCGAGTCTCCCATTGGACCACTTCTCATGGCTTTAAATTTTCCAGTACGAAAGCCCGATTCATTACCTTCACTAGACACCCGCTTATACCAGATACTCCCTTGTACTTACACGGTTCACATATTCCGACATGTGATAGGGTCAGGTTTCTGGGCCTGCTCTTTGACCGCCGGCTGCCGTGGAAACCTCACATTTCGTTAAAGACAACTTGCCATGGTCGGCTAAACCTCCTTAAGGTTCTTGCACATCATTCCTGGGGAGCAGATCGTCGCACTCTCCTCCGTTTGCATTCCACCCTAGTTTGTCCAAGCTAGATTGTGGTGGCCAGATCTATTCTGCAGCTTCTCCCGCAACTCTAAGTTAGATCCTATTCATCACCAAGGCCTCTGCCTGTGGCTTGGTGCCTTTTATTTGTCCCCTGTTGAGAGCCTCCATACAGAGGTGAATTTTCCATCCTTGTCTGATTGCCGTGATGCTCATTGCCTTCGCTATTATGTTCGATCCCATGACCTCTATAATCCTTCCATATATAGGATAGTTACTGATGTTAATAAACATTCTTTATTTGTTCGTCACCCCTGTTTACTCCATCCCTTTTCTCTGCCTACATTCACTCTTGTCTTCTCTTCAGTTACCACCTCTCTATGTTCATGTAGCCTCTCACTTTTCCCTGCCCCCTTGGGAAGTTTCTGCTGTTTGTGTCAGTTCTTTCCCACTGCCATGCGCAAAAGCCCAACTACCTATGGTGGCTTCCCACTCTCTTATTCTTGAGCACTTTTGCTCTCATTCTCATGCTATCGCAGTGTACACCGATGATTCTAAGTCTTCTAATGGTGTTAGATTTGCAGCAGTGTTTCTGGACAGTGTCGTGCAGGGGCATTTATTACCCTCAGCTAGCATTTTTATGGCTGAATTGTATGCCATTCTTGTAGCACTTATCCGTATTGCATCTATGCCTGCGTCACCATTTGTGGTCATTTCAGACTCTCTTAGTGCTTTACAGGCTAACCATACCACGGGCGGGATTTGAACCCGCGGTCAGAGAGTCTCAAAACTCCAGACCGTCGCATTAGCCACTGCGCCAGCTAGCTTCAATAAGATTCGTCCAACTAGGTGTATTTCTACACCATAGGAAGGTTAGCATAGGCACCACTGTGTCCACAAATGCAAGTTTTTACAGACGAATCTCCCACTAGCATGGCCATGACGAACTCTGGCTCAAGTCCCCTCAAAGTCGTCAACATGACTCACGAAATCGTAATGACACGGTTGCAAACAAACCATACCATGGGCGGGATTTGAACCCATGATCAGAGAGTCTCAAAACTCCAGACCGTCGCGTTAGCCACTGCACCAGCTAGCTTCAATAAGATTCGTGTCTTTACGATTTCGTGAGTCATGTTGACGGCTTTGAGGGGACTTGAGCTAGAGTTCGTCACGGCCATGTTAGCGGGAGATTCGTCTGTAAAAACTTGCATTTGTGGACACAGTGGTGCCTATGCTAACCTTCCTATGGTGTAGAAATACATCTAGTTGGACGAATCTTATTGAAGCTAGCTGGCATAGTGGCTAACGCAACGGTCTGGAGTTTTGAGACTCTGATCGGGGGTCAAATCCCGCCCGTGGTATAGTTTGTTTGCAATCGTGTCATTACGATTTCGTGAGTCATGGTTACAGGCTATACGGAAATTTGATACACCTCACCCCTTAGTTCTTCGTATCCAACTTTGGTTATGCTGTATCTCTAGCAAACACAGAGATATTGTTTTTTGCTGGGTCCCTGGTCATGTTGACATACAGGGCAATGAACAGGCAGACACTGCTGTGCGGTCAGCAGTACATGACCTCCCAGTTTCATATAGAGGTGTTCCATTCATGGACTATTTTGTTGTAATTGCTACCCACCTTTGCATCCGTTGGCAACAACGTTGGTCTGATCTGCTCCATAACAAACTTCATTCTGTTAAGCCGAGTATAGGTTTCTGGCCGACTTCTTGTCATCGGTGTCAAGATTGGGAGACTACTCTCTCCTGCCTTCGCATCGGCCACACTCGTCTTACTCACAGGTATCTCATGGAGAAGTGTCCTGTTCCTCTCTGAGAACTGTCAAGCTCCAGTATCTGTTAGCCACATTGTTGGACTGCTGACTATCAACGAGCATGCAGAATTTACCTTCAACGTCATCTCCTCTCTGCTGCCCTTTCCTTACCATCCTTTCTTGGTAACAGACCCTCCTTTTAATCCTCCTTTGATCCTTTTTGACAGCAACTGATTTACTACACAAACTCTGATGATGATGTCTCTAGTGCTTTTCTCAGCCCTTTCCACCTTAATCTCTAGCTACCCTCTACCCCTGCACTATTCACTGCCCCGCAACACTTCATAACCTAATAATCATCCCCTTCCCTCTTCCTACCCATTATCCCTGCATCCTTCCCTGCCCTGCTGCGCTGTGTAACCCTTGTGGTTTAGCGCTTCTTTCTGATTATAATAATAAATACTGAGCAATTTGTTTACCGAACAAAGCATTCAAATATCGAATTGTTCGAGTACAGAGCTATTCGAGTACTGAAGTTTCACTGTATTGTTAATGGCAAAATAGAAGTGTGTTTATATTCATATTTTTAGTCTCAGTTTAATTTTTATTGTATTTAAAATTTTCTATTGTTTATTTTGATGATGGAAGAAGTGTTAAACTTTTCCTGAACAGCTGGCAAAAACGAAAAGTATGGAAATCTTCAGGCAAGTATATATACACCAGACCCCACTCATCTTCTTAACTATTTCCGACAGGAGAGCAGCAGCAGCAGCTCTTCCTTAAGTTATCAACTTTGTTCACATTTTCCAAGGAAGTGAACCTGTCCCATCCTTGATTGCTTCTCATTCCCTATGCACTATATGACCTGTATGGGTAATACTTTCTCTGATTATAATAATAGTTTTTAGCAAGCCCCAAGCTGCTGCATATTGCTGGGTGCCTGGACACTGATGCTCAAGACACTGAACATGTAGATTCAGTTGCTTGGTCAACTATTTACGATCTGCCACTCTTTCACCAGGGAAGTCTATTTTTCATACTATTTTCAGTACTCTGTCAACAACTATAAAACTGCTGGCAAGTTTGAATTAGAGTGCACCAAACTGTTTGCTATCAAACCTCAGATTCCTGGCCATCTTGACACTGCTGTCAGGTGTGGGAAACTACTTTTGACTGATTACTAATCTGACACACATGGCTCCCATGCAGAGATCACATAGAGAGACATCCGGTGCCTCTGTAAGATTTGCTAGAAGACTTGTACTGAAGCTGAAATGCCTTCAAGGTTTCTTAATGCCTGTGAAATAGTATTGATTCAAGGAACTGGTCTTATCCTTCTCTTCCTTGGATTAACCCTCAATGTCATCATTCCACAAATGCTAGATGACCCTTAGGAGTTTAGCACTTCTGCCCTGAATAAAATAAATCTTCCCTTGGGTGAACCTAATTACCTCTCAGGTACTGTATGGAACTTACATGTTTAGTGGTCCCAAGTGTGTAATAACAGAGCTGAACTATGAGAGGTTAACAGGAGCTGAACCTGATGTTAGAGCAAAGAGAAATGGGGAAGAGGTCTCCATAAGAGAGAAGAAAATACAAAAATAAACACACACACAGTGGAAGAGTGTCTGACCTGGACCTCTTCGGTGGTGCGTTCTATGAGGACATACAGGGACCAAACAACACAGGTGATGGCGATGATGTGGAAGGTGACGGAACACGCTATCTTGCGTCGCTCCATCCCCGACATGTCCAGCTTCTCCCACTGAAATGTAAGGTAAAGGCAGGTACAGTAATGGCTTTAAGGTGTGAAGCATGGGCTTTGAGTGTTGCAGCAAGGAGGTTGGAGGGCACTCTGTGGTGTCTGTATGACAAACCATACCAATTGCAGGAATAGAACCCGTGATCAGAGAGTCATAAAACTCCAGACCAACTCGACAGTCGAGTTTTATGACTGATCGCGGGGTCTATCTCCGCCCGTGGTATGGTTTGTTTGCAATCGTGTCATTACGATTTTGTGAGTCTGTATGACCCTTGTAGGTTAAGTGCTTGGTTATGATTGTAGTGTAATTATGCAGAGAATTCGTAGTTTGTAGGTCAGGTGATGTGGAGTTACCAAAGGTATTATTCAGAAGCCTGAGGAATTGTTGAGGCAGTTTGGACGTTTAGCGAGGAATAGTAAAATAGGTTGACTAGGAGGGCATATAAATCTGAGGTGGAGGGAAGAAGGGGAAGGATTGGGGTGTTGGAAGGAGGGGGTGAAGTAGAGCTTGAGTGCTACGAGTTTGGACATCCAACACCCTTGTGTGAATGTGTTATATGGGAGTGGGTGGAAGAAAATAGTTTTTATGATTCTCCACTATGAATGTAATAATAATATAAACTGGTAAAACTAAGATTTATATCGTGCCAGGGAAATGGGGGATTCTCGGGTTTGATCCAAGGAAGGGGAAGGTAGCTCCAGTACCTTGGATCAAGAGTCCCTCAGCATCATGGCACCTTTTTTATGGGGGGAGGAAAAAATAAGTGAAACTTGGCTGCTAACTTCCCTAGATTTCTGTCACACTTTTCACTTATGTAAAGCGCTAAATCCTCATGAATAAGAGAATTTAAGGGAAGCTAGACCTTGGACCCTGGTCAGGGTACAGTGGGGTCGCCTGAATCAGGGCTCGTGCCCTGAATATTCACGAGAGATGAAAGGCTGCAGTCTCTCTCTATCTCCTTTTATTAATTCTTCCTTCCTCGCTCTCCTTACTCATCTTTCCTTTCTTTCTCATTTTTCCCACGTCAACCCTTCCTTCTTTTCTTCCTACTGAAGTCTCAGTTCAGACTAACAGATTTCATTACCACATAAATGAAATTCATCCCAAGTGGAGTGTGGTGGAGAAACAGAGCTAGCCATTGTTCCCACAATGTAACTATCATATAGTGTAGCAACACACTGCTGGTGTTCCCACAATGTAACTAGCATCATGTTCACTGTCTTTTCTTCTCACTTCTTAGGTAGTTCGGACTAAGTTTGCTCCTTCCCCAGTTTCCAAGTTTAGAAGCTCACTTGCCTACTATAACCCAACGCTCACTGTCTTGAACACTGCCTCATTCTAATGCCATGGCCGTGTGCACTGATGGGTCTAGATCCGTAGTGTCGAGTATGCAGATTTTTTTTTCACTGAAACAATAATCGAAGAACATTTTCTCGAGTGGGTCTGTATTCTCACAGCCGAGTTATATTTAATTCTCACTGCCATTATACACATTGACCGTTTCCTCATTCGTGGTTGTTTTCGACTCGAAAAATGTGTTACAAGCTATGTAGAGAGTCGATGCCCTTAACCCATTCGTGTACATCCTCGGCTATGCCAAATTTCCAGTAAACACAAAGGTTTTATTTTTCTGGGTCCTTGGACACGCTGATGGTCAAGACTACAACCCACGTCAGGAAACACTTGTCCTGTTTCCTGACAAACCTTACCTAACCTGTTCAACACAATGAACAAAACTTGGTCAGCTGTTCACTACCTCCCATTTTTTTCCTGATGGGTCTTCATTCCTCGGGCTTGTTTGCGGTGCTCTCACAACTATCACGAAACCAGTGGCAACAACGTAGGTTTTAGTTAGAAGACAACAATTCCTGTTTTATTTAACTATAGTTGTGTTTCTGACCATTCCCCACCTCTGTTTGGGAAACTACAGTCTCACGTCTTACTCCAGGAGTTGTGGAGGTTGTAAAAACCCGTAGGAGCCACATCTGCAATAGTACAAGCCTTTAACCATGACTACGCTCAGTTTTAGCGTCCTGTACCATAGGCCTATGGTGTTAATGGATTAGTTGTTGAAGTGCTTTAAGCAGAATAGAAGATGCATACGAACCAGACACACGGGTACCACACGGACAAGTACCAAGCACCACTCCTAGGACTGCCAGGTAGAAGTGTCAGTATCCCATATCTTAATAGATTGTGTTATCTATCAACAGATATGCAAAATTCCCTTCCAACAACTATGCTGCTCTTACACCTACTGACCACCTCGCTGAAAGTCACCCTCCCCCCCCCTCTCTCTCTCTCTCTCTCTGATTTTGTAACAGAAACTAAACCGTTGTACTAGCAATGACTTCAGTTTAACTCACACCACTATCCACAGCGCCACATGACCCCAAACAGGTCATGTGGCGCTGTGGATGACCGACTGTAAATTCACTCACCTGGAAGCTATGTACTCACACTAAAATCGCTCGTCCATGCACAACAAAGTGTATATACACATGCGTCTATCACAGTGTATATACACTGTGTATAATACTGCGAGGTGTGTATCACAGTGTATACACATACACACATATTATATATATATATATTTATATATATATATATATATATATATATATATATATATATATATATATATATATATATATATATGTATACCGTGAGGTATCTCAGTGAAATATACACTGTGTATATATCCCGCAAAGTATATATAATTCCTTCAAGGAGGGCTCTTGATGTGAGGTACTGAGGCTAACCTACTTCTTTTCCCCTTCGAATGATCCTGATTATCCCCCACAGCCCAGGAGCTGTACGGCCCTTTTTCTGTAACCTACTGATCATCCCTCCCCCCCCCCCCTCCTGCCGCCCAACACCCCTCGCTACCTTCCCTACCCTGCACCCCTGTATAGCCCTTGTGGCTTAGCGCTTCTTTTTGATTATGATGATAATAATGTACGACCCTTACAGGTTTAGAGATTCCCTATAATAATAATAACTAATAATAGTAATAGCAATAATAATAATAGCAATAATAATAGAAATAAACAGCAACAATAATAGTAATATAATAATAATAGCAATAATTGAAATAAAAGCAATAATGATAGAAATAATATCAATAAAATAATAGCAACAATAATTTATAGCAAAATAATAACTTTAATTATAGCAAGAATAAAAATAATTACTAGCAATAATAGAAATAGCCATTATAATAATAGCAATACTTAATAGCAATAATAGAAATAATTGTAGTAGTAATAAGAGCCATAATAATAATAGCCATAGCAAAAACAATAGCCATTATAACAGTAATAGCAAAAACAATAGCCATTATAACAGTAATAGCAAAAACAATAGCCATTATAACAGTAATAGCAAAAACAATAGCCATTATAACAGTAATAGCAAAAACAATAGCCATTATAATAAATAATAGCATAAACAATAGCCATTATAATAAATAATAGCATAAACAATAGCCATTATAACCAATAATAGCAAAAACAATAGCCATTATAATAATAGCATAAACAATAGCCATTATAACCAATAATAGCAAAAACAAAAGCCAGTATAACAGAAATAATAGCATAAATAGCCATTATAACAGCAATAATAGCAAAAACAATAGCCATTATAACAGCAATAATAGCAAAAACAATAGCCATTATAACAGAAATAATAGCATAATAGCCATTATAACAGCAATAATAGAAAAAAACAATAGCCATTATAACAGAAATAATAGCATAATAGCCATTATAACAGCAATAGCAAAAACAATAGCCATTATAACAGAAATAATAGCATAAACAATAGCCATTATAACAGCAATAATAGCAAAAACAATAGCCATTATAACAGAAATAATAGCATAAACAATAGCCATTATAACAGCAATAATAGCAAAAACAATAGTCATAACATCAATAATAGCAAAAACAATAGCCATTATAACCAATAATAGCAAAAACAATAGCCATTATAACAGCAATAATAGCAAAAACAATAGCCATTATAACAGCAATAATAGCAAAAACAATAGCCATTATAACAGCAATAATAGCAAAAACAATAGCCATTATAACAGCAATAATAGCAAAAACAGCCATTATAACAGCAATAATAGCAAAAACAATAGCCATTATAACAGCAATAATAGCAAAAACAATAGCCATTATAACAGCAATAATAGCAAAAACAATAGCCATTATAATAGCAATAATAGCAAAAACAATAGCCATTATAATAGCAATAATAGCAAAAACAATAGCCATTATAACAATAATAGCAAAAACAATAGCCATTATAATAGCAATAATAGCAAAAACAATAGCCATTATAACAGCAATAATAGCAAAAACAATAGCCATTATAGCTGTATATCCCTTGTGGCTTAGCGCTTCTTTTTGATTATAATAATAATAATAGCCATTATAACAGCAATAATAGCAAAAACAATAGCCATTATAACAGTAATAATAGCAAAAACAATAGCCATTATAACAGCAATAATAGCAAAAACAATAGCCATTATAACCAATAATAGCAAAAACAATAGCCATTATAACAGCAATAATAGCAAAAACAATAGCCATTATAACAGCAATAATAATAGCAAAAACACTAGCCATTATAATAGCAATAATATAATGTAGGTTAGAGTAGAGTTACCTTGTTGAAAGGTTTGATCTTGGAGTGCATGATGAAGTTGAACTTGCAAAGTTCGCAACACCTGGTGTCTGACGACTTGATCCATTGTTGCAGACATGACTGATGAACGTAACGCAGAGAGCCGGAGCAGTAACACGGAGCTATCAGCGGTGATTCCTGGTCCCCTTCACAGTGACAGATTCTGTAACACAGGCAGATGTTGGTGACTGATGATGTGACAGGTAGGTGTTGGTGACTGATGATGTGACAGGTAGGTGTTGGTGACTGATGATGTGACAGGTAGGTGTTGGTGACTGATGATGTGACAGGTAGGTGTTGGTGACTGATGATGTGACAGGTAGGTGTTGGTGACTGATGATGTGACAGGTAGGTGTTGGTGACTGATGATGTGACAGGTAGGTGTTGGTGACTGATGATGTGACAGGTAGGTGTTGGTGACTGATGTTGTGATAGGCAGGTGTTGGTGACTGATGATGTGACAGGTAGGTGTTGGTGACTGATGATGTGACAGGTAGGTGTTGGTGACTGATGATGTGTGACAGGTAGGTGTTGGTGACTGATGATGGGGACAGGTAGGTGTTGGTGACTGATGTTGTGATAGGCAGGTGTTGGTGACTGATGATGTGACAGGTAGGTGTTGGTGACTGATGATGTGACAGGTAGGGTTGGTGACTGATGATGTGACAGGTAGGTGTTGGTGACTGATGATGTGACAGGTAGGTGTTGGTGACTGATGATGTGACAGGTAGGTGTTGGTGACTGATGATGTGACAGGTAGGTGTTGGTGACTGATGTTGTGATAGGCAGGTATTGGTGACATGTTGTGACAGGTAGGTGTTGGTGATTGATGTTGTGACAGACAGGTGTTAGTGACTGGTGCTGCAACAGCCAGGCAGGTGTTGGTGACTGATGTAACAGGGTGTTCAGGGAGGGGTAGTACCTCTGGCATGGGGGAGCTTGTCGTGCCCTTCTCGGGGCAGGTCGCCAGCTTTTGGTCCCCACCTGACGCCCAGCTCTCACTTGTGGCTCCAAGTAGCTGTTAGCATGCGACAGCAGCCACACCCCGGGCAACGGCTTCGACAGGCCGGCTAAACCAAGTGAGGGTAGCCGTTGGGTCATTGACCCCCGGTAAAGTCAACTAGGGCTTGCCTACCTAAGCATGGGAAGACTGGCTCTGGCGGACCGCGCGGATGAAACCACTAGATTGGTTCAACGGGCAGAAAGGCAGTTCCAGCAAGGCATTGTGGAGCGCTAAGGGCACGATGAGGCACTAAGGGCATCCTGGTCATCCACTGCATCCGATCCCATCTCCAGTCGTCTCGACTTTGTCTTGCCACTGGCCTCAGATGGCTCTGGACGAGAGAGTGAGGTCGACGCTGCGCAACTCTTCCTTACTTTAAACAAAGTCACAGCGCATGTCATCAGTCATCCTTTATCCCACCTCATCACCCAAGACCTGTGGCGACGGGCAAGCGATGAAGCGACAGGCGTGGGTACACTGGAAGTTGTAGCCGCAGACCTGCACACAGGCGGCTCAGGCCATAGGGTCGTTCTTTACTGACCAGAGCAGCGGTGGAGTCCGGCAGCCGTCTGAGTGACTGAGCAGCCCTCTTCAGGAATGCACTGCTCACCTCCATGGTATGAGGAACGGGCTAGAAAAGGTGTCCCAAACATTGCCTGCTCCACGAAACCCTAGCCAGCTTACTGCGGTTGGCAGGCACTCTTCTACATGCGGTTGAAACTACAAGACATCAAAGAAGAAAACCAAGATCACACCTCTCAACCTTGCCACTTGGAACGTCCGTACGTTTCTCGACAGGGACGACTCAGACAGACCTCAGAGACGTACAGCACTCATCGCAAACGAACTCGCCAGGTACAGCATTGACATCACTGCCATAAGTGAGACTAGACTTGCTGGCGAGGGCGAACTCTGCGATAGAGGAACAGGCTATACCTTCTTTTGGTCTGGACGAGGAGCCGAGGAGACGGGAGGCAGGAGTTGGCTTTGTAGTGAAGTCATCCCTCATTGGCAAGCTGGCTGGCCCACCAAAAGGAGTGAACGAGCCTTATGACGATGAGAATCCCCTTGTCCTGTGGAAAGAAGTTTGCCACTATTGTCAGCGCCTATGCCCCCACCATGACCAACCCAGATGAGGTTAAGGACAAGTTTTATGAAGACCTGAACGCCGTCATCACCACTGTCCCCAGCGCAGATAAGCTCATTATCCTTGGTGACTTCAATGCGAGAGTTGGTCATGACAGCACCGCCTGGGAAGGCGTGATCAGAAAGCATGGGGTGGGCAGCTGCAATAGCAACGGCTTGCTGCTCCTTCAGACCTGCGCCGAACACGACCTTCTAATCACCAACACCGTCTTCAGCCTCCCTACCCGCAACAGGACATCATGGATGCACCCGCGTTCCAAACACTGGCATCTCATTGATTATGTCATCGTCAGGAAGAGGGACAGGCAAGATGTACGAGTCACGAAGGCCATGTGTGGCACGGAATGCTGGACAGACCATCGCCTCATCATCTCGAAACTCAAGCTCCGTATCCAGCCCAGGAGACGCCCTCAGGGCGTGAAACCACCAAAACGCCTGAACGTCGGCAAGCTGAGGGCCCACAACGTCAAGCAGTCCTTTGCAGAAATCCTGGAAGCCCGCTTGGAGTCCGTCGTGCTGGACGTTCAAAACGTCGAAGCAGCATGGACCGCACTCCATGATATAGTGTACAGCACAGCCATGGAGTGTCTAGGACCCGTCACCAGGAAGCACAAGGACTGGTTCGACGAACACTGCACAGAAATCCAGCAGCTGCTGGAAGAGAAACGAAAGGCCTACATGGCCCACATCAACGACCCAAAGTCCACAGCGAAGCAAGATGCACTGAGAAACATACGCAGCAATACCCAGCGAGAAATGCGTGAAATGCAAGACTCTTGGCTAAGCAACAAAGCCGATGAGATTCAGGGCTTTGCAGACAGAAATGATATGAAGAACTTCTATGACGGCCTGAACAGCGTGCTGAACCGTCCATCCACCATCAACGATGAAGCCACCGAACGTCTACCTCAGATTCCGACCAACGAGATGTTGAATGCCATCCCCACTTTGGAGGAGACTCAGCAAGCAATACGTCAACTGTCCAGTGGCAAAGCTCCTGGGTCTGACGCCATCCCAGCTGAAGTCTAAAAAGAAGGTGGAATGGCACTGGTAGAGAAACTTCACCAACTCTTCCAACTTGTATGGCAGCACGAGACAGTTCCTCAGGACTTTTAAAGATGCTTCCATCGTGCATCTCTACAAACGAAAAGGAAACCGCCAGGCATGCGACAACCACCGTGGTATCTCCCTGCTCTCCATCGCAGGCAAAACCCTGGCTAGAGTTCTACTCAATTGGCTCAACGAACATCTAGAGCAAGGACTCGTACCTGAAAGCCAGTGCGGCTTCTAGAAAGATCGCGGGACTATCGACATGGTGTTCGCTGCTAGACAGCTACAGGAGAAATGTCAGGAACAGAACGCCGACTTGTACTCCACCTACGTCGATCTGACCAAGGCCTTCGACACCGTTAGTAGAGAGGGCCTATGGAGAATCATGGCGAAGTATGGCTGCCCAAAGACGTTCATCGCCATCGTATGCCAACTTCACGATGGAATGCTGGCCAGAGTCCAAGACAACGGAGAGACGTCTAAACCATTCCCAGTCTCAAATGGAGTGAAACAAGGCTGCATGCTTGCTCCCACCCTGTTCAGCCTGATGTTCTCGGCCATGCTTACAGACGCATTCAGGGACACAGACGCAGGAATCGGCATCAGGTACCGTACAGATGGGTCTGTCTTCAACCTCAGGAGGCTTCAAGCAAAAATCAAGGCTGCAACTGACACCATCAATGACCTGCTATTTGCTGATGACTGCGCCCTCAACGCTGCTTCAGAAGCCGCCATGCAGCACAGTGTTGGCAAGTTCTCTGACGCCTGCAACAACTTCGGACTGACAATCAGTACAACGAAGACTGAAGTGATGCACCAGCCTGCTCCGGGAAAGACGTATGTTGAGCCAAACATCACCATCAACGGGCAGTGACTGAACGCCGTAGACAAATTCGCCTACCTCGGCAGTACCCTTTCCAGAAACGTTGTCATCGATGATGAGGGTTGAATGCCAGACTTGCCAAAGCCAGTGCCACCTTCGGCAGGCTCCAAAAAGAATGTATGGAACCGAAAAAGCATCACCACAAGCACCAAGATCAAGGTGTACAGAGCCATAGTCCTCACCACACTTCTCTATGGCTGCGAAACCTGGACTGTCTACAAACGTCACGCCAGAAAGTTGAACCACTTTCACACCACACGGCTCAGAAAAATTCTCGGCATCAAATGGCAAGATAGATCCCAGACACAGAAGTGCTGACTACAGCTGGCCTGCCTAGCATCTACACCATCCTAAAGCAGACACAGCTTCGCTGGGCAGGTCACGTTGCTCGCATGCCAGACCACCGGCTGCCAAAGAAACTCTTGTTTGGGGGAACTGCAGCATGGAAAGCGCTCTCAAGGAGGCCAAAAGAAGCACTACAAGGACACCCTTAAGACTGCTCTGAAAGCTTTCAACATCAACCACACCATGTGGGAGCTGATAGCTCAGGACAGGAATGACTGGCGAGCAGTTGTCCAGAAAGGGGCAACATCCTGCGAGGCAAGCAGAATCTCACTAGCTGAGCAGCGCAGGCAGGCGAGGAAGACCAGAGCCATCAGACCCCTCGATGCTGCCACCCTTCCCTGTCCACACTGCTAGAGAACGTTTCGTGTGCGGATTGGCTTGACAAGTCATCTGCGTACCCACCAACTTCAACCCCAGGATGACTAGATGGTCCTCGTCGAATCGACGGACAAACAACAACACAACAACAGACAGGTGTTGGTCAGTGAGGCTGTAAGAGACAGGTGGGTTAGGTTAGTTAAAGTTTGTCAGGAAACAAGACAAGCGTTTCCTGACGTGGGTCTTATTTGATGACCCGCAGCGGGGGCTTTTGGTCATCTGATCGAGGCCTTCCACCGGCTTACCCCTCCAACTCTTTAAAAATTAGGGTTTTAGGCAGATGTTAGTGACTGATCATTATATATACATGTATATATTTTGAATCAATAACGCTGTGACTATCCGAGGATTCGAACCC